GCTGTGTGTTCCCCAGTAAGTACTGGTTAACTCCCCATTAGCTCCTGATTTGTTCCTTAGGTGTTCCCAGTAATTAATCAAATTGAGTGTACCTTATTGTAAAGTGTTACCTAAGGCTGTCCGGTGGTTTCAGGAACACGTGTTGACAGGAAGTGAGTCCATCACGTGGAGAGAGTAAAGAGTCAACAGAACGACCAAACATTAAAACGTTACTGGTTCAGCGTGTCTCTGCCGACCAGGTGAACGCTTCATACGGAGGCTGCTTCAAGTCAATTCTTTGCCTTTTGATCTCGTTAGTCGAGTCAAAATGGCCGCCTGGGTAAAAAACGTTAGTGCTTTTTTACAAAAGTTTACGGAGACGTACTCACCCAAGAAAGTCAGATAACCGAATGTGGCGGTGAAGAAGTACATGATGAACATCCCCAAGATGGAAACGTTGCCAATGTTTTGCATTCTTCTCTTGGTTGGACTTGAGGAAAACAACATGGAGAGGTTTTACTCAGGGACATGGAAGGCGTTTATTTAAAGATTAAACTCTTCCACGGTGCCAGAACATTATCGTATGACAGCAGCAATCTTTAGTTCATCCTCCATGTGCACGGGTTATTAATAGACCTTCAGACTGCTGCACTCTGCTCTGGACCTCACTCAGTTCTTCTGAGCCACAACAAGAATGTGATGAGCACGATTTTGTGGTTTGCTGTTGGGGAGCAGATTTAGAAAACCGTAAATCTTACTTTCTGAGTTCGGTGTAGATGGGAAGCACTTCAGGGTGACACACGAACGCAAAGGCCAGGATGGGGATGGTGTACGCCGTCTGCAAATGGAGTGACGGATCGGTTTCACTTTTCATGGAAGGACAAACTGAGGAACACATGCAGCTGAAATACGACGCGCACTCGAGTCGTTTCGGACCGTACATGTTCTCAGACCTCTGAGTGGCACCCAAGCTCCAAATCAAGGTTTGTGATAGCCCGGTCCTGGTCCTGGAGGGCCACCAGCCCACATGTTTGAAACGTTTCCCTGCTCTTCAGCGTGTCGTACAGTTTGCAGACGCCTTCTGGTCGCCCATTCATTCAAATCAGTTGTGTCGAAGCAGAGGAACATCTAAAACGTTCAGGATCGTGTCCAACAAGGACCAGGACCGGGTCTACAGCGTGGACCCTCAGGTCTGACCACCTTACCTCCTGGTTGATGGTGAAGTATTTGATGGTACACGTGTCTTCTGGGCTGACCTCGCTCACAGAATGGTTGCCAAACGTCTCCAGAGGACAAGGGATGTTGAATTTTTTGTAGATGACCTGATGTGACGGAGAGAGGAAGGACAAATATGGTCAATCAAACTTCTGGAAAAAATAAAAAGATTTTCTGAACTTCTTGTTACGTTTTGAAAACAGTTTGTGGCATTTAATGCAACTCGTCCCACAGGTGTGAGGCTGGGTTTAAAAAGCACAAGAAGAACGCAACAGGAAGAGGCGGGACCCTGCTGATGAGCAATCAATCAATGTCAATCAATGTCAATCAATGTCGATCAATGTCAATCAAGTTTATTTCTCTTTTGTTTGTTTCCTTGGTATTTATCAGGATATTCTGTGATTTCTGCTAAAATTTGGACATTTTCTTTAAAAATCATGAAAGTTGTCTCATTCTTGTCAATGTCTTGTCTGTTTACACTGAGGGGGCGGAGCCTAAAACTGGTACTAGAACCGGCCAGTGGGAGCTCTGGTTTGTCATGGGAGTCCACTGATGGTCCTGGCAGTTCTCTGAGGGCTTCACAAGGTTTGACAACAAACTGCGGTGGAGGTTTTTGGTGCTGAACACACAGAAACGTACGTTTTACACCAAATCAAATCTAAACCAGACGACGTCACAAAAACCATCAACAGTCTCTGGACTCAATCCAACACGAGGAAACAGGAAGTCTGATCTAGTCAGTTCTACACCTGTTCCCTGTACCATTAATATTAACCTTATCTGACCGGACAAACCCCACTGGCATCACAGACCTCTTTGGAGAGATCCTCCTGGACCTGAAGGCAACATGCACCCTATGTTTTTAGTCTGTGGGAGGAAACCGGAGTACCCGGAGAAAACCCACGCAAACACAAGGAGAACATGCAAACTGCACCCAGAACGAGCCCAAGCTCAAACCAGGGGATTGAACTCACGACCTTCTTGTGGTGAGGCAACGGTGCTAACCGCTGAGCCATAATGTTGTTTCACTTGTCACAGCTGCATCCGCTTCTCTCATCAGCCCCACAGTCCCCTCTCTCTGCAGGTGGACGTCACTGCTATGAGTGTCTCGCCCGTGTCTCGCCCGTGTCTCGCTCGTGTCTCACCTGTGTCTCGCCCGTGTCTCACCCGTGTCTCGCTCGTGTCTCGCCCGTGTCTCGCTCGTGTCTCGCTCGTGTCTCGCTCGTGTCTCACCCGTGTCTCGCTCGTGTCTCGCCCGTGTCTCGCCCGTGTCTCGCCC